TGTTTTATATGTCTTGAGTTAATTTTGATCATTTCTAGCTTTTGAGATGTTTATTTCACTGATATTTTCAAGTTTATTCACATATATTTGTCATAGTATTTCAATATCTTAAATCAGTTTTATTACTTCTTAATCTCATTCATAATGTTATTTATATAAATAAGCATGCTTATTTGAAGAAACAATTTTTTTTTCCTATGAACCTGAATTCTGGTCTATACAATGCAAAGTAAGGCATGAGTTGAACAACAAGTAAAATAGAACAATGTATACAAATTTTATTTATATTTGCTGATTTTGTTTATGCTTTGTTTCTGCTATGATTAAAGATAAAGTAGTGGAAAAACTACCAGAAAGAAAAGACTTTGTGATAACACTTCACTTACATCCATTTCTAAATGCCACCATAGGACTAGAGTCATTTAAAGAAGAAATAATTTCATCACCTTTAGCTGTTATGTCAAAGAAAAAGTTTTTCCCTATTAGTAAGACCTACTTTCTAGGAAGCTATTCTGGGTCTGAATATTTCACAGTTTCCTTAGGAAGTTATTCTAGGCTTTAAAAATGGAACATTTAAAAAAAAACTTTCCCTATGAGAGCTTTTTAAGTAAATTAGATATATACAGGAAAAAGACACAGAGTTCAGGAATTTTTATATCATTATGAGCAAGAAATATTATAAACATTTTTAAATCAATTGTTTGCCATCCTATAAACTGAATATCTGAGTTAAAATGTTTAAATTCATTATTTAGGTATCATTTATATCCAGCAATTGACATGTAGAATATGATCTCTATTCTGGCTTTCCTTGGACCATGTGGATCACTCCCCTATCTCATTCATAAACTCATTCTTCTAGCCTTGTTAGTGAAATACACTTGGACCTTGGAGTTATATCCTTAGTATTCTGCTCTTTTATCTCCATTCTTTTCTCCTGACAATCCAACCGACAATCAGAAAGCTGCAGGTGAAATCTAAATGTTAGTAATTCTCCAACCTACATTTACAACCAATACTTTTCCCCTTAGTTTACTTTTGCATTTCCAACTGCTTGCTGGATAGCTGTAGAAATCTCAGAGCAGCAGGTCTACAGTTGACTCATTTTCTTCTGGTTCAAACTGGTTCCTTCCCTACCGTCTGTATTTCAGTTATATATTCTCTCAGGCTCCTAAGACTGTACTCATTCATTTAGTCACAAAGTCCTACCAAGTTAACCTCCAAGATGTTTGCAATCCAGTCCTTCTCTTTGGTCTCTACCTTAGAACTAATTAAATTGTTTATTTTCATATCTCCAATATCTAAAACAATTGCTATATTAATCTATCAACAAGTGCTATATTCATCTACCTAAAGCCTACTGCTGACACATTGCTTTCCTGCTCAAAGGGGTGCAAGGATTTTCTCCTGCTTACGAAATAATCTGATGTTTCGTATTCTGCTTACTCTAGTTCCTGTTTTATTTGGAGACTCATTTTCTATTAGTCTTCCTTATATGTAACAGTCTAACTGGACTGAATTCTGTTCTCCAAAATACTCTATAATGGTTCCTTTGTTAGTGCTGGACACTTTGCTAAGCCCTGAATATGCATTATACCAAGTAGTACTCATCACACGTGGAAGCCGGCATCATCATTATTTTTGCATTAAAACTGAGAAGGCTGAAGCTCAAAAAAATAGATAATGTAGTCAATGCTAAGCCACCAGGAAGTGGAAGAGCTAGAATTTGAAGCCAAGCCATTCAATCCCAATAGCTACATATGTTCGACCATTGTGCTCTATGTGTTCTGAATTATATTTGGGCTCTTGCTGTTCTTTCTGCCTTGAATATCTTCTTGATCCTGCACAGTCTGACCTATGTCTGCTTCTCTAATCTGACCTCATACTGCGCTACCTCCATTCCGTTCTAGTTATTGTTTCTTGAACTCATGACCAACATTGTTTTAATTTCAGAATCTCTAAATCTGATATTTGCCTTTTCTGAAATGCCCTGAGACTGGCTTTTAATATTTATTCAGATACTATGTTTCCAGAAAGCCCTACCTCACAAAAAGGCCCCTTTCTCCCCTCTTTCAAGCAACTTACTCACTCTGCTATTATCCTATCTTATTATTGTAATAGAATTTATCAGTATTTGAACTTACCTAATTTATCTAGTATTTGTTTACTGGAAGGCTTTAGAGTAGGGGTTCAATTAGTGTTGTTCAATTGCTCTGTCTAGCCCTTGGACAAGTTCATAGTATAATGCTAAATTAGTATGTGTGTAAGGAATAAAGAGATCCTTGCCTATTAATAGCCCACTAATACTTCAGGATCCAAATTAAAGCCATAAGTCTGACGAAACATCAGATTTGTGCATCTCCCCATTTTTTCCTAATCATAGTTGTTGTGGTTGATTTTTCCTCTCAGTTGCCTTTACATTTTGTAGCTATTAGGGAACATGCTGTATACGCATTGTATATATCATGTATTATGTTTTTTTTTTTTTTGAGACAGAGTTTCGCTTTTGTTACCCAGGCTGGAGTGCAATGGCGCGATCTCGGCTCACCGCAACCTCCGCTCCTGGGTTCAGGCAATTCTCCTGCCTCAGCCTCCTGAGTAGCTGGGATTACAGGCATGAGCCACCATGCCCAGCTGATTTTTTGTATTTTTAGTAGAGACGGGGTTTCACTATGTTGACCAGGATGGTCTCGATCTCTTGACCTCGTGATCCACCCGCCTCGGCCTCCCAAAGTGCTGGGATTACAGGCGTGAGCCACCGCGCCCGGCCCCATGTACTATGTTTTAAAAAATCCCACTCCCTCCTAATTTGTAAGTTCTCAAAAGGGAAGTATGATCTTTCATCCAGTTTTGTAAGCACCATAAAATCCTTATTTATAGAGTTTCTGTAGTTTTCACTAAATCTCTATTAAATTTGAAAAAAGAATTCTTTGTATTTTGAAGTACATTTGAGATGAGTGTTGTCTAATGTAGACCAAATGAAAAAAGTTTTTGGACTCCATTGAATGTCAACATAATATATTTTTAAATAATAACCTATCATATAACATTGCAATGTACTGCAAGACAAACACTATTTTCCAGTGATAACAGCCTATAATAATACTGTAAAACAATCCCTGTGCAGCTATTTTTAATATAATTTTATTATTTGTCACTGTGGGAGCATTCTTGCATTAATTTTTCCCTATTTCCTGCCTTATATTCTTAGAATATACATGTGGAATATCTATCAAGTTAAATTTACAGACCCAAGGGTAAGACTGCACTACTAATGTGGGTAAGTACATATTCTTAAGAGAGCCCATCCACTGCCATTATCTGTTAAAACTCTTATAGCTCATTTTCACACATGTGAAAAATGCCTGCTCAGAGTAAATCTGTTCAAAATATGATTAATTCTCACAGATACAGTTAAACCAGGGAAGTTGAGATGGACACTAATAGGTCACATCATTCTTATTTCCCTAAAGATATTAGAAGCCACTATGAATCTAACATCAATAACTACTTAAAATATTTTTATTATATGGAATAAATATTATGTTATATTATTCAATGAAAACTTTTTGAAAACCTTTTAAATAATTTTATATTTATTTACATAAAAAATATATACCTACTGTCTGCAAGGTCACTTTTTAAATAAAATCTTGTAGCAAGTGAACTTTCACTCCTCTTTCCAGTTCATCAAGTAAAAAAAAAAATGAATAAATAAAATTGAAAAAACATTTAACATGTTAAATGAAAAAAATATATTTTAGATATTACTCTGGAATTTTACTAGTTCACAATTTTCATTCCTCTTTCACTTTGATTTATTTTAAGTTGTCTATGCAAAGCACAAAGATAAGAACAATTTATTTTAAAAGTGGTAATGTCTAATTAAAGGATTAGGAATGATTTGTATATTTTTTATTTGAATATTCATATCTTCACTTTTTTGAATGAGCACACATCTTAAATGTAATCAGTAGTAAAAAATGCCATGATAAATAAAACTTATCTGTGTTTAGGGAAAGCCACAGTGAATGCTGCTTAAAGGCATTGGCTTGGGAATCATTGCTAATAGTGAAATCCAATTTGAATACTTATTTGATCTGGGGTAAATTGCTCTCTGTACCTCAGTTTCTGCATCTGTAAAATGATAGTAATAAAAATATTTACATTATTGTGTTGTGAGGATGAACAACTACAATGAATGTAAAGTATTTAAGAAAATACATAACAGATGTAGAGAAAGGAAAGAGGGAGGAGACACATGTGTAGGTATATTTCTATGTACTGAAACCAATATTATAAAGCATCTTTTGTATCTTTGACTTCAGATTTTATTTATAATGTTAATGATAGCCACAGGAGGAGTTCAATAAGCAGGGATATATTATGATCAAAGACAAATTAGGAGGAGATAAATGCAAGGTTTCTAAAACAGATATCTATTAAAGTGTCTGTAGGAGTACAACCCTTATGAATAGGTAATTATAAGATTTTGAGAGTGTGATCTGTCTTGAACACAATAACAAATGAAAAAATAGTATTTAACATCTTTTATTTTATTAATTTATTTTAATTTTACTTATTATTATTATTTGAGAAGGTGTCTCACTCAGTCACCCAGGCTGGAATGCAGTGGAGTGATCATAGCTCATTGCAGCCTTAGCCTCTCATGCTCAAGTGATCCTCTCCCCTCAGCCCTCGAGTAACTGGGACTATAGGCATGCACCACCATGCCTAGCTACTTTTTGTACTTTTTGTAGAGCCAGAGCATTGCCATGTCACCCAGGCTGGTCTCAAGTGGTCTGCATACCTCAACTTTGCAAAGTGCTAGGATTACAGGTACAAGCTGCCACACCAAGCTTATTTATTGTGAAAATTATATATAACACAAACTTGACTATTCTAACCATTTAAGTGGACAGTTCTATACCATTAATTACATTCACAGTGTACAACCAACACCACTCTCCATCTTCAGAACTTTTCACCTTCCCTAAAACTCTGTACCTTGTGAATTCTGACTCTCCATTCTTTCCTTCCTTCAGCCTCAGGTAAACAGCACTCTATTTTCTGTCTCTATGAATTTGACTACTCTAGTCACCCCATATAAGTGAAATCATATAATATTTGTTCTTTTGTGACTGGATCATTTCACTTAGCATACTGTCTCTAAGGTTCATGTAGCATGTGTGAGAATTTCCTTCCTTTTTAAGTCTGAAAAATATTCCATTGTACAGTTATACACATTTTGTTTATTCACTTATCCACTGAGTGGCACTTGTGAATAGCGCTATGAATTGTTTTGCTTGTGAATGATGCTTGTGAATAGTGCTACTATGAACATGAGTATACAAATATTTGTTCTTTCATTTTAAGGTAGAGTTTTTCTTGATTCTAACAAAATTAATTCTGATCAGAATAATGAAATACATATAACAGAAAATGTATTGATAAAGAATCTTATTTATGTATGTATATAATATTGGAAAACAAAACAAGATTGGAATGTTTTCCATTGAAGTGGTGTAGAAATAGCATACTTATTTTAATGCCACAATGTACTCTGCATTTTTTTCTTCATGGAGCAACTAAACATAACATAAATATATAAAAGTTACATAAGGATGAAACTATTCTTCGATTTTAAAAAAGTTACTAGTTATAAGTAGTCCTAAAGGTAGCTAAGTAATAAGTATAATTAAAAATCTAAATCAATCTGTATATTTATGAAACAGGTCAATTAAGACATATGTAATGAGTCTATAAACTGACTCAATTTTTGTTTTCTGATTATAAAAGCAATCATGATCATTCATTCTCTTATTACAGGGAATTTGGAAAACAGAGCAAACAGTAAATTACTGCAACTCCATCATCAGATAATAATTATCTTGGTTTATACCTTTTTAGTCTTTTTTTCTATGCATATTTTGACTGCAAAACAGTTGTGTCTATATTGTTTTGTAAGATCCTTTATCTCTTCTTCCTCCTTTCCTTCATTTCCTCCCTCCTCCTTCCCTTTTCTTCCGCTTGTTTTCTATTAATAATGTGTTACAAGCATTTTCCTAGTATTATGACTTTCTAAGTAGACCAGTTTTCAATGGAAAACCTTTTATAGTAATGACCTGCTGGTTAAGAAGAGGTTTGGAAGCCAGATTGCATGAGTCCAAAGTTAGCTCTGCCACTTGCTAACTGTGTGACCTCGAGCAATTTATTAAAATTAGTTACCTCTTTTCCTCTTCAAAAAAAGGGGGAATAAACATAATACGTCATACAGTTGTGAATACTCAACAAATTCATATTAATGAGCTACTACTTAAAAACAATACAACAAGGAAGCACTCCAATTGTTTGTTATTATTATGTAACATAAATCTATTTTTGAATATGCTTATATGTAACATATGAATAATATATTATTTTATTACCTTAAAGTTGAAAGATCATGTACAATTATTTAATCGAGTGTTAAACAATGTGACAAATCTTCGGAAATTTCTACAGTAACATATGATTACTGTGATTCTAAAGCTTTATCATGCCTACAATTACCTGGCATGTTCAATGGAAATGCTTCCCCTGGGATTCTAATGTGGAAGATCCTGATTAGGAGTCCGCAGTATTAGTGCTGTGCTTTGAAAAATGTGAACTAGATTAATCTCCAATTGAATCCAGTAAGCCAGTCATTGCCATAATTGGGGATTAGTGTCTATGCTATTTACATAAAATCACACAGAATATTACTGACAATTTCTTTCAAAGTATACCAGTGTTTGTTTTTAACCAGAAGTTTTTTTAAAAAACTCATTCTTTTAAAGATATTTATCAACACATTTCTTTACATTATTAGAAATGACAACCAATATAAGGATTAAAAACTCTACTTTGTGTTTACAGACAGACTACTTTAACTGTCCAAGAAGTTGTGATTCCTCCAATATTTCTAACTTTTTTGAGTAATTGTTCACTGTTCTATATCGAGAGTACATTTCTATCAAACCAGATGCCTTATAACTATATGGTTTTAAATTATTAATTTTTATTCCTCTCTAAAGGATAACATTAACCAGGCATATGTTTATTCCAAATTGCATTGTTTTAAAATTCTCAGTAGCAATGAATAAATAATGTTTAGACAAAAAGAACATTATTGTGCTAAAACTTCTCTTTTATGTGGAAAATGGATTTTTTTGAATTAATACATTTCTTAATTGGTAGGGAGTATTTAGGGACATCAGGGGAATTAACAGTTTTCGCAGGATCAGGACTGTGAGTCAAGTAGCAAAATTCACCTTCAGGCTGCACTGCCTTTATTTGGTTAAAGTTTACATAGGTTTGTCATTACCAAGTTTGGACAGAGTTACTAAGGATAGCCCTAGGGTTACCGATTTATTTTTTCTTTTATTCCTCCTTTCTTGTGCTCACAATGTAGAAAACTACCATTGGCTGCATTTTTTTGGAATTACTTCCTAATTTGCCCTTGAGAGGCAGCAGTAAAGCTCTAAAGGATAAAAAGTCGATACTCATACATTTGGACCAGTTGAAGTTGCTCTTCTACCAAGTTGTTGAGTGTGCTGTTCACAGGTTCTGAAATAACATGTGGAGGGGCAACAATTTTGAGTTCATGTTATGTTTAGATCAGATCTTTCTTAGGAGCTGCTTATTCACAAAGAGATTCAGTTCCTCAAAGGTCTTAATAGGAGCCTCTGTAAAAGGTGGTTTTCTACTGTTGTGCCACTGCAGGGTACAACATGTTTATTATTGGCCTGGGGCCAAGGGGCCAAGTGGCCAAGGATGGAAACCTTGTGCTAAGTCACCACTAACCAGAACATTAAATGTTTTTTTTATTAGTGAATAACTGGACACTGTAAAATAACTGTTTTGAGAACTACTTTAAAATACTTAATTAAAACCACATCTTCATAACCTGAAATTCTAGTGTATCCTTTGAGACAGGCTAACATAAATAATATTAACTGACATAGACAAGTTTAGGTTTAGCCAATATAAATAGTTTCTTTTGCCAGGTGTTTCATACTTATTGGACTTTTGTTGCTAATACTTTGAGATTTTTTACTTCTAGTTTTGTTATTGGCATACAAAAATTTTGTATTAGGTGATGAATTCTAGAATAAAGAGGTTCAAGTTAACTCAGAATTACTAGGGGCCACTTTCTATCCAGCTCATTTGGAGATGAGAGTGTAGTGGAAGAAGTGATGGCTTTCGTGTCAGAAAGACTTACTTTGGGCAAGTTGTTGAGCCTTTTGCAGAGGGAGATTCGTGTATAAAACTGGATGTTAACATCTCATTCATATAAATATTGAAAAATTAAATGATATGAAAAATGTGAAACTTCTATGATTTTGAACAGCATAGAAACTCATTAAATGGTGGCTGAGATAAAACATAAGCCCAGAGAGACTAAGAGAAAACAAAATAAAAAACATTTCAAGAAAACAAAACAAGTTTTAAAAAGACCACGCAAGGTTTAGATTTCAGGTAAACACGTATGTGTGAGTAATATGCATACTCACATGCACACACCCCAAGTGGACTCTTGTTTCACACTAAAGAAGGAAAAGAAAGTAAGCTTTTCCCTGGTTAGGAACTGGCAATGCAGCTTTGAGAGTCCTGCCTTTTCATCTCTAAGCAGGATACTTGAAAGTTAAAAGTTTCTATCATTATCAAATATAAATGTAGAGTTGTTATAGTTTTACTACTACTCCTTGGAGGAGAAGGCAAATAGATCATTTCCCAGAGGTCAATAGGACTGCTTTCCTTCTTGAATACAGCTGGGTAAGGTCTCATTTGACAAAATCTTAGCTTTATTTTGGGAGTACGTTCGTTTTTTAAGGGGACTTTCAAAGATTACACAGCATTTTATGGTGATACTGCCTGCCATAGAGAGTCATAAGAAAAGGGAAACATTTGTTTCTATAGCACTTCCAAAAACTACATTCTAAGACCTCAGAGGTTTAAATTCTTGTGGATAGATGATATCAATGACCTCTGGCTAATGGGTCATTCTGGCAGTCTCATGCATCTTAGTGGAAGATAATATATTATTTTAATTTTTTAAGCCAAGGAATATATGCTTATCTCCCAGATGTATGTCTGGTAGCCCTCAGAGTAGTTAAGAGGGACCAGCCTATTCAGGGTCTCTCAGACTTTGACTACTGCAGTAAGGGAATATACCTGTATTCTTTGGACAGTCTCAAATGTTGCTTTTGCTTCATTCCATGTCCCTTTTCACCCTACCTCTTCTACTTTTAGTTATTACATCCACATCTGTGGCTTCAATCTCCCTGCTTTTGTAAAGATTCCCAAGTACATAACTAGCTCGAATCAAAGTCCCCTTAAATGCAACACTTTCAAAATCAGCCAATGTCTGTTCCACAATTGATTATTGTGAATAAGGCACCTAGGAATTATCATTTACTTCCTCTCCTTGCTATTCTGCCCTTCTGTACTTGTCATCAACTGATGTGGATTGTGATTCCTAAAAATCTCTTGAATCTTTCCCAGCCTCTTAATCTCTCTGACTCTGCCTTTGTTTTACCTCACTGTGAATATGGCAATGGACTTTTATCTGAACTGGGTACTAAAGCTAATTTGAATTCCACATTGCTTCCAATGTGAGGATGTCATGCTCCTGTTCAAATGCCTTTAATAGCTGCCCCGCCAGTATCTACCCCTGATCTTTCAGGATTCTTCCTTCCAATCACACCTAGCTTCTTTTCTCTCAGTGGGTCGTATTGTTGCATTCCTCTATTCCTTTTAACATACTGCTTATTTCACCTAAAATGCCTCCTTTCATGGGAATACTCCCTCTTATCCTTCAAGGTTCAACGCAACATCATCTCTGCATGTAATATTCCTCAGCTGCCCCAGGAAGAAGAAACATATCCTCTGAGCACTAATCACACTTAGCAGAGTTTATTTACATGGCCTGTCTCTCAGGAGATCAAAAGATCTCTGCTAGCTGGTATATTGTTCCACCTGATCAATGTAGGAAACCAAACACACCACTCCAAAGTGTACCTCTTTGGCATATTTCGAGATGGCTATTCAGAGGGGCTGCAGACACAAGCATAGTTCTGAAGAATCTATCCTTTTGTAAAACAAATTTACATCTATCTATATTAATAAAGAAAACAAAATTTGCAGGCAGAGGCTTTTTCTGAGGTCCTTTTTTTCTAAACCTAGGTGTGGGAAGTAGAAAAGTTCATTTTTAAAGTTTCTTTTCTTGTTAAAAAAAATAAATCATTAAGTGTGCTAATAATGCTTTGCTAAGCTCTTTCCTATGTAGTTGTTAGACATGCCATACTTATAGGCATGTAGTGCATTCTAAGTCCTTGAACTTATCTGTGCTGAATGTGCTCACAGGCATGTTCCAGCTCTCCATTGCTTTGACCTGTTTAGGAAAGTTTAAAGTTGTTAGCAATCAGGTTTTAGTTTAGATTGTGAGGTCTGGTTCCAGCCAACAGAGATCAGACTCAGCAGTAAGGACGACCCCAAATACCTAAGGGATAAATTTGTCTGTTTTTCCTTTGTTCATTGTACTCTGGTGGCATGATGGCTAGCAAGGGTACCCTTCCTGTAGTCCAGGAAGTAAAAATTGCGTTGATGAAAGATCCTTTGTCTCAGTGCTAATTTTTCTTTGTGGCACCGACCATCTATTTCCAACACTAGGAAAGATTAAATCACAGGAAAAAGAAATTAAAGAAAGGTCTGACACTTTTAAAGGTCTGACAGAGAAACTATTACTATAGGTTACCATCGATTCTTTCTGTGAGCTATTGCCTGAGAGACTATCTGTACAATGAAACAACAGTCTTTGTTCACAGTGCATTTCCTCCCCTCGTCCTCCCATAACCTGTCATGACAGCCCCCAGGACCTCCAAGCCTCTATTCTTCCTGTACAATATAAAAACATCAGCCATCTGGCTGTTTCATGAGTCTCATATTTTGTGTGACTCTCATGCTCATGTGCATGTAATAAATTTGCATGCATTTTTATCCTGTTAATCTGCCTCTTGGCAGTTTGTTTTATGGACCCAAATTATTGAACCTTCAGAAAGAGGAGGGAGAAAATTTCCCTTTATCCCTAACAGTTTGGTGAGTCCAGCCAGGAGAACAAATCACTCTGCTCATTTTGGAGCCTGTAAATGGGACCCTGGGATGACTGACAAAAAAGCCAACAGAGAAAGGTAAGAATTTTTACCAAGGTCAGTAATCCCAGATCTCTGCCTTTAATGCCCAGTTGAGTAAGAGTGGTAAAAGTCATGTTTGTCTCTTTTTCTTTCAAATTTAGATTTGCTGGTGAAAACATGTCTATAAACGTGGTCTTTTGTTGTTTTGAATCACTTTTGTAATAAATTGGCTATATTTAGAAAAACTCTCATCTTAACTATTTGTAGCTACAAAAAGATCAAATTTTAAAAAAAGAAGAGACATAAGTAAATATAACTGTTAACCTTAAAGACTCCTGTGGCAATATTAAAATAATAAAAATTAATTTTAGAATAAAGTTGAAATATTTTTAAATGAGAAAATCTTTTGGATCTCTGGGCTCCAGATTTTAAAACTTCCCTTCTCTGAATCCACCTCCATGTTTTTCAGCAAATTTCTTTAGATCAGGAGATGAATATTTGTAAGAATTAGTTTATAAGAATTTGAATTATTTGTTTTGAATTTGTGTAACTGTTGACTTTTGGGGCACTCATTTGATAATGATCCTTTTCCCTCGGATGAATGGCTTTTGTTTTCCTGTTTGTCTTACCAACTGTTGTCTCTTTTAAACTTTTTGTCTATTGAGGGCACACAGGTTACCAGGCCTTCATGTGTGGGTGGCCTACCAAAAGGTTGACAGCCCCACAAATATAGCTGGACAAAAATGTGGGTTGTACCTCATTTTTGGCTAGCAAAGCTTTTCTTTCTTTTTGACTGCCTTTCTTTTGGGAATGGCTTTGGATTTTCAACAGCCTGCATCTTTGCTCTAATGTTAGACACTTGGTTAAAGCCATTAAAAGGCTCATTAATTTAGGTCATGAGAATTATTTTTGATGTTGAGTCTCTTGTAGACATACCTTTGGTTTAGAACTCTAGTTCATATTCAGAGCATTATAAGAATTTCTTTGTCATCTCTCCTAAGCTAAAATGGAAATATATCCTCAGGAAAAAAAAAAGTTATTTAAAAATTCAAAGGAAATGAAAAATCTTGAAGGCCTTTTCTATTAATATTGATAAAGGGTTTTGATCATGTAAACAGATAGTGTTAACTTGGTTAATGCTTTATAAATTGGTGAGTTTTATATTATTGTACTGTTATAAAGTTTTAAAATAAAAACTGTAATATTTTTGTTTGTATCATATTTGTATGTTTGTATATGTTTATACATGTGTACGTGTATGGTTAAATTATATCTACATGAGATAAAATTCCTTGGAAGAGTTCCAAATTGGCTTAAAGATAAATTACTCCTCATAAATTAAATACTTTTAAAATGCTAGAAATATAGTAAGAAACTCAAAGCTTATTCAAGTTCATGTGACTTGGGTAAATCTTTCACAAATAGAACTAGTTTGATGCTGTTGGTTTTAAAGTAAGTAAATTAAATAGATGTAAGTGGGATAAAACTTCATAAATTTACTTTTTAACAATAATTATCTTTTATAATATGTACTTTTAAAGGTTTCTCAAATCTTTTAGGTAACTACATCCTTAAAGTATTGTTAAACTAAATTAGATAATGAATATTCATTAAATATTTAGATCATTTCCAAATAAGACATAACCACACATTTAAGCTTATTTACTTTGACTTCTTATTACAAGAGAACTAAATATATTTGGGTCAGCTAGTAAATATACCCTGATCCATATTGAAAAATTATTTTATGAGAAAGCTTATGTTTCTAGAAATTATGAAATCTGTATTGATAACATGTGTTGGTACATGACAGTTCAAGATTGCTTTCTTCTCAGATTTTCACTGGAAAATAAGATAACTAAGAATTAAAATTCTAATTAAGATATGTAATTAAAACTACTAGAGATAAGAGAAACAATTCTGTATGTAAGCGTACAAGGAAGCTAGGATGTGTTTTGGTGAGAAAAGTTATAAGGAAGGCCCGGGGATTTTTTTGTTGTTGTTGAAGAAAAAATAATTCTTTTAGTTTAAAGGTTATCTAAAGGCTGTTTCAGAATGAAGAAATCATATATAAAAAGCTGAATGACAGTTCATAGAGAGTTTGGAAAAGAGAGTGAGAGAAAATAGGTGAGAAAATATTGACTAAAAGCGAATAAAAATAAAAGTTTTAGAAATGAGCTTTTATAGAAGAAGTACACTGATACAAAACTAAATTTGGTTTTCTCTTTCAAAAACAAAGTATTGGTAGATATTTTATACTTTATCAGAATAATTTCCTGTGCTTTATACTGTCATTATTAGGTCTTTGATTACTTAGAAAAACTGTGTTAAATAGTTAAAATTTTTCTATAATTATGTTACTTCCTGTATTTTCTTTTGAAGTATTTTAATTATCATCCTGGTTAAATGAATAACTACTATTTCACAGTAACCTGTGATCCTATTTTTGATGGAATGCTTTGAAGCTTTGTTTTTAACAACCTTCCCCAAATCAAAATTAAGTCTTTTTGATCTCAAACTAACTTTCGGGCATTCCAGAAGGACCCCTAAAAGTACAAAAGTGGGATATTAAACAAGTTAGGCCTATTTAATAGGTGAAGTTATATGGTAAGCACTCCAAATAGCAAATGATGTTTAACCTTCTCTGAGTTATATTTTTATAGATATGCTATTCACATGTATTCCAAAATTGTATAAAATTTCTAGAAATTTATAGTCTTGTTGCACACTATCAGTAATAATTATGGTTATACGTTAAGAAGTTATATGCCACAAACACGTTTCCTTGTCAATGACTTGTTATTAATTCTCATTAGGTTTTTAACCATGACTATTATAAGTTTTTGTCATAGATAGACAGTAGTTTTGCTTCTTCTCTAAAAGCACCTTGCAATCAGTTATAGGCCCAAATTGCTTTTCTTCAATGAAACTTATAGAAAAGACTCTGACAAGCACCACTGAAAATAGGATTCTGATGATTTTGAGATCATATTTGATTGGGTAAGAGTAAGAAATCCAGAACTCTAATGAAAAAACTGGACTCATAAAACTGCTAACCCAACATCAAGTAGGATAAGAATTATTACATGGGACCAAAATAATGAAAGATTATGATTTTATGACTTTTTTGTTTGAAATATGGCTTATTATTTTATATTTCATTTTCCACATTAAATTTTTTTTCTTTCAGCTATCTACAGTTTATAGGAATATAGGAAGGTGTACTTTTGTGTGCAGAATTGAAACTTTTTTACTACCTACCTGATTCCTCCAGAGTGTGGAGGCTATTTGTGTTTTTATTTCAAAAGCAATATATTTTCTTACATTCAAGAAGAATCTATTCTCTTTGTAACAGGACACAATTGGAAACATTAGCTATATTTCCAAGGCTTTACCTGAGATGTCCTCTTTTCAGCTATGACCAGATTGCTCTAAGGGATTAAAGTTTACTTTATGAAGCCAATTAAAACCCCTTGGAAAATCTATCCTGATATCTTGGATAAATAATTAACATGGTTGCTTTATAGGTGAGTAAAAACTGACACTTCCTGAGAGGCCCTGGAACTTGAAGATATTTTTGGGAACTTAGAAGAGAAGTATTCACCCAAGTCGAAAAGTATTACGGGCACAGTTTGAGGGTAACTTTTTGGATTGGCTTCCCAGCCTCAAGAGGCTGTCAAATGCTTAATCTGAGATTCCTTGTGAAAAGTTCCAGCAAAGTAAAATTGAAAATGAGCTTATATGATTAATCATCATTTTGCTGTACTTATGTGAATTATTAGGCAAAATATAACAAGCCTAAAACTTATGTTGCAAATAAATTAGTTTTACTGTGATTATTTTTGGTTAAAAGTGGGGAACAGGAGAGAGAAATACTATGATTTAAAAGAAAACTATAATGTATCTGTTATTCAATTCTAGGTCTGTTCATTATTTTTGAGATTTTGTTTATCTATGATTTAGACTGGATTCTGACATTGTTTAGTTTCCTCTAATGTCTGGCTACAACTCGCCCAACTAACATTTTCACTTTTTTCTCCCATTTTTTTCCTGACTTGAAATCACTGAAATTAAATGTGCCTTTTTCTTGAAGCCCTGAAAGCTGAAGCTGGTTGACTTGATAAACTCCAGAGAAATCACAGTAACAATTTAAAATCTGTCAGATTGTCACTGCCTATCCCCACTTCAACTGAAGATGTTTTGAGGCCAAATCTAGAAATCTTTTCAACTGCTGGACTCAGAACTAGCTTATATGCTGCTCCAATTACTAATATTTGTTTTTCTTTTGTTTCCTTAGAGATACCTCATGTTAAAAACCTGTTTGTTTATACCATGTAGTGAACTAACTGGGAATCCTAAAACACCACTTCCTAAATTGAGACATTTTCTACTTATTCCAATTGACGTTTTTCTTCCCTTTGCTGGTGTCTTATCTCAAAATATCTAACTTAAATTTTCCACCCTTATCAATCCTATTTTAAAGTGCAAAACGTTCTGGACATAAATTTCAAAGAGGGGGCTGTGGGAAACCAAAACATGCCACCCCAAAATGTGCCTCTTTGGCATATTTCGGTATGACTATTCAGAGGGTCTGCACACACAAGCGCGGCTCTGAAAATCTATCATTTTGTAAAATAAATTCACATCTATGTATTAATAAAGCAAACAAGGAATGCAGACAGATGCTTTCTCTGAGGTCCTTTTATCTGAATCTAGGAAAGATTAACTCACAGGAAAAGAGGCTAAAGACAGGTTTGACACTTTTAAAGGTCTGACAGAGAAAATATTACCACAGGTTACCATCTATTCTTTCTGAGGGCTATTACCTGAGAGGCTTTATCTGCACAATGAAGCAATAGCCCTTGTTCACAGTGCATTTCTTCCCTTTACCCTTCTATAACCTGTCGCCACAGCCCCCAGGAGCTGCAGGGCTCTCTTTCTGTATCATATAAAAATCTTAGGCCCTTCTTTGAGTCCCAAATTTTGTGTAGCTCCCTGTGTACATGCATGTCATAAATTTGTATGCTTTTTTTCCTGTGAATCTGTCTAGTATCAGTTTGGTTTATAGATTCAAATTATCTAACCTTCAGAAGGGGGTAAGAAAAATTCCCTTCACCCCTAAACCAACTTTTTGATATCTAGAAAATTATGACTTACATGAACTCCAGTACTACTAATGGGTCTCTGGTGGGCCTAATTTTTCAGGAATGAGGGAGTATTGGCTTGATGGGTAAAACAGGAAAGTGTGAGAGGTGTTTTGAGAGATCAGAATCATTGGGGGATGATAGGAAAGAGCAAGAAACCAAATGGAGGCAGGTATATTGGAATGATGTAGTTTTGGTTATTAAGTGGAACTAGAGAAAAACATTTGCTATCCTACACCTTCAGTTTGGTTTATTGTATCAAAATTTGAACGGGTTGTACCAACCTAAAATGAGATCTATTCTCCACATCTTAAAAACTTTTTATTGGGATAGCTTTACTACAATAAAAATAAATTGTGTTTTCAAGTAGAAAAGATAATTTGTTCTATCTTCATATCGGTGACTAAAAGCAAGCAAAATGTATACTAAATAAGCTCTTATTGAAAAGACAAGTCTCAGGGAAAAATAGATAGACTTTTAGGCTATTTTTCCATCTCACTAGGGTGTTAGCCCACACAAAACAAGCTACAGAGATTATTTTCACCCTAACATTGTTACATAGTTGTTGGAATAATCACATGGGGAGCAATCAATTCCATACAAATGTTTCCATACAGATGTGTTTTTCCTCTGAGCTTTGAGTGAATTAAGGTACAGATAAATGAGCCTGCACAGGGGAGGAGAAACTACATCACTGTATTTTCTTCAAGCAGACCAGAGTTCAATTTGACTTGGAGTTTAGCAAATTAAATGTAAGAGAAAAAGAAACATTGAATGGTTGCTCTCAATTCTGGTATGAGACAAAATGAGGTAGTAGCAGGATATTAAAAATTATTTTTGGGATATGTGAGGGAGTGTAACCCCTTGTTATCATCTTAAGACAGGTATCTTGTGCCTTGGATATGGGGTCTCAGCAAACTTGCAGCCTTTGCATGTGGGAATAGTTTGAATTTGAACCATTGGAGCTTATCCTATTATTTCAGTTTGGGTCCTTGTTTGGGCACAAGGCACTGTTTTTTGCAGTTGACTTCCACAAGCAACTACTGAGTGCCAAGCATGTACCAGGGATCGTGCTACGCAGGAGTGGTAAAAAGATGAATAAAACATAGCAGAATTTATAGTCTGGTGAGAGAGCAAAACACAGAAATAGATAATTCAGTATAATGTGGCAAATGCTAAGATACTTAGCTCAAATCAACTTGTTTTGAAAATTTTAACTGTTGCCAAGGTACTAGTAAATGAGTTCAAACTGTTCACGCTAGCCTTCTAAACCCTGACTTTTTCTGTCCAGTTAATTCTCACTAACATCCTGTGTGATCTTTCTGATTCAGATCTTATGAGGCTTGTTGTCTCCCACTTCTCACTTTGGATCTTGAAGGCATAATAACATTTTTCTTTCATTCTTTTTTTTAAAGTCTCTATCCATCTTTCCTAACCCAGGTTAATTCCTTGGTCTTTTGCAATACCATACTATATTCACTGATTTATTATTAACATGTCTAAAATGGAAATTTTCATTCGTTGAAGCCAATTTTCTTTCTTATAAATCTTCTCCCATCTCAAGAAATGGAAGCTTCTATTTTTCTGCTTAGGCCAAAATTCTGGAATCTCTCTTGAATGCCATATATCTACTCCATTAGTGAATTCTGCCTAGTAAACCTTCAAAATATATCCAGATTTTGACCTCTTCTCTCCACCCCCTCACACACACATCCTGACCCAAAGCCACTATGATCTGAATAGCCTTCTGACTCTTCTGTTCTTTAAATTTTGTAGTCTCATCATGGCTTACAAATCCCTCTGCAATCTGTGCTTTTCTCTCCTCCAGCAAGTGTTTCAACTTGTTTCTTTTCATTTGCTCCCCTCCTCAGCCACTCCACTCTGGCCCCGCGGTTTAAACTGCATGAAAGCCTGACTTTGCTCTGCTGACGTTCAGTGCTTAAAACAGTGTGAGGCATGTCTGTACTAGTTATCACAACTAGTATCCTTTTGTATGCCTGTTTCCTGTTAACCCGTCTATTGTCAATTTGTTTTATAGACTCAAATTATTGAACCTTAAGAAGGGGGTAAAGAAGATTCCCTTCACCCCTAAACCAATTTCTTGTTATCTAGAAAATTACTAGGAATAATAACTGGCTTATATAATCCTGATTTTGAGCCAATGCTAGTCTATGTTATATGACATATTGTTCTCATTTTCTCCTTACCATAATCTTAGGAAAGAGACATGGCTATTATGCAAATTTTACAAATAAAGAATTAAGGCACAGAGAGGCGGTAGGGACTCAATAAAAATAAGTATTGGTTGTGTTATCTCATTCAACTAATAGTCACTGATTGTACCCTGAGAGCCAGTTCTCCAACTTGAAAAATCAGAGTAGTATCAATTTATGTATCTCAGGGAGTTTTTATAAGAGGGAGGAAAAAATGAACAGGTAAAAATAGGAAAGTGCTAAACAGAAAGCTCCATGCAAATCGTTCAGATACCCTATTTCAATTACTGGTAATCTTTTGTGTAACAAATTATCAAACATGAGTTTCTATTATGGATTGTCACTATCTTACTCCTTTTCATCCAGCTCAGACATCACTTTCTTCAAAAAGTGTTCCTTGAACTCCCAGAATGAGTTAATGCCATTCTCTTCTGTTATCCCTATGCCTGGTACATGTTACTCCCATTAGGCTTGATGCATGTTACTCAATCTTTGTTTGCGTAGCTTCTCCTCCACCAGACTAGAAACTCTCTGAGGATAGGAACTAGTCCTATTCATCTCTTAGTTCTAAGATTCAGGCACACAAGCAGTGCCAAATACATGCTTGTTAAATGAATGGGTGACCCAGCAACACAAATTGTGACTAACAACTTAAAAAATATAATATTTGAACATAAATGAGCATTAAGCTGCACATCTAGGAAGAGAAAGTTTGCTTTGGTTTGCTTAGATGATAGAATTAAAATAAATATCCTATTTAGATTAATTACCATAAGTTAACGAGTTCTGTAAGAGACTTGTGATAACTCTCCTTCTGTTTTTTTAATAGCTCTCCCATAAACCAGACACTGAAGTTTGAAGTGAAAGTCACGGAATAACCAGGAGCATTACAGATTTTGGAGATGGATTAACTGCTCTGCAAACATAATGCCAGCAACCTAATTCAAAACAAAGACATGCTTTAGAATCATAAAGCCAGAAAAGGCCCGAATTGTGTACCAACACAGCTGTGGAGGTAACTCTGCAGACTTGGTTTCAGTTTTTCATTTGTTTCTGACTGTTATAACTCTGGTTTTTTATACTTCAGTTCAATCCTATATGGCTATTTCAAGCTTGTCAGAATATAAAGTCAAAAGAGTATTACAGTAGTGATTGGAAAGAACATAAGATTAATTTGAAGTAGAAAAAGGGCATTTTATAAATGAATGTGAAATGCCTGGAGGCCTACCAAGAATACCCAGCCATGCACTAGTCTTTCAGCTTAGAAATGCTGCACACAGCATGCCACAGCCTTGGGAGAAAACCTACATCACATGTCAATGGAAGCTGCTCAGCCAGGCACACAGAAAGGTACCTTGCACCAGTGATATTTGACAACCCTGGTGGTGATTTTTCTGCTTCAGTGGCCAACTTGTGCAAAGTCAGGGCCAGCCAACACACAAGTAGTTCAGAAGGAACGAGGCTGTTAGAATGATCTTTACAAGGCAGCAACCATGATGCTTCTTTTAATGATCATTTCATATCCTGTGTAGCCAGGAATGATTCAACGACTAAAATTTTCAGAAAAGGGAATACTAAACTTCTGGGGATGAAGGAAAGTTTCTAACAAAAATGATATTAGTTCGATATTCATTTTAATCTGTAGAAAATATTTTTCATCGCTGTGTTCTGAGATTGGTACTTCATTTCTCAGTACCTTTTAATCCAAACTAATAACATTTTATATTTCTAGTGCCTGACAGAGAGTAGATATCTTGACAGGAAAGTAGAAAAAATGATGGAGGCTAAAAAATTACTCACAGGCTCCCTCTCACACACTATACATAGCTCCCTTGTGTCAGACAACTGCTACATTTTTCTCATACATTTGATTACATTTATAATAACAATAATGATGGTGGTGATGACGGTGGTGGTAAATTGATCACAGATCACTTTATTGTCTTCTTTTCGTCCTAAGTTATTTTCTAAGTGCTTCACATGAGTTATCTTAATTAATATTCACAATAACCCTAAAGGTTAGCAAACTGCTTGTAGAACAGTTAGGTAATTTAGTCAATATCAGACTAACTAGTAACTGGAGGATCTGGGATTCAAGCCTGGTGATCATATTATGGGACCCTCAATTTTCTCCATAATTAATTCAATCTTAGAATTCATCTTGTCCACTAATTTTTACAAAGATTTCTCTGAGTTCTTCCAAAATGCTTCTTGAATTGTCTCCGAGGATTTAGGGAGAGTACTCAAAGTCCCATCTCAGGCTTGAATTTACATATTTGACATTTGCTTAAAATTTCAACTGAATAAAGGGCTGTAGGATTCAAAACAGACCTGGAGAGATGAAGCTGAGAGTCCCAGGTGTCATGGTCCTACTCCTGGTTAGTGGCAGTTCTCTAATTAGGACCCAACTCCCCAGACTTAGGTCACATCTTTCTATGCCACTGTGAGCCCAAAGAAAGGAACACATCACTGACAGAACAAGGTCATAACACTTCAGTGGCCTCCGTCGTGAGCACTGGAGGAGGCTTCTGCCCTGGGATGTGGTTAGTTTCATTTTCTGTCACGTATAAACTTCCCAGATGACTTAAAAGCCAGAAGACACAGAGATTTTCAAGCATAAGAGTCATTTTTGTATAGGTTGAGCATCACTAACACAAAAATCCCAAATCTGAAATGCTCCAAAACTTGAAACTTTTTGAGCAGGGACATGATGCCACAAGTGGAAAATTCTACCCTGACACATTAATTTTTCACATTAATGGTATATCATATTTCTTACTGCTAATCCTTATGTGTAAGTAACTGTAAGAAAATGATTGCTTGTCATTAGCATATAAATTCAGAGTCAGGAATGATGGTGATGCCAAACAACTACAGGTTGTCCACATAGATGGCTGAGACAGTGACATCTCTGCTTTCTGATGGGTCAATGTACACAAACTTTGCTTCATGCAAACATTTTTAAAAACATTGTATAAATTACCTTCAGGTCATGTGTATAAGTATTATATGAAATATAAATGAATCTTATGTTTAGGCTTGGATTCCAAACCAAAGATAATGTCATTGTATATAAAATACTCCAAACTTTGAAAAAAATTCAGATTTCAAAACACTTCTGGTCCCAAGCATTTCGGCTAAAAGATATTCAACCTGTATTTAATTCAACCTGTATTATTTTCTTTATACATATGGTTAGCTAATTTATCTATATTAAAAAAATTAAACTATAAGCTTAAGGTTAAGCAATTTTAATTTTACTTGTATTATATACTCAATATATTATACTGGCATCAAAGCTGTAGATTGGCCAATCGTGTAGGCCTTCCTCTAAACCTTAGAAAACATCTGCTAGTATTCATAAAGACAATGTAGTGTAGAATTATGCTTCTCAAATATATTTAAGCTGTCATATCCTTTGCAAGTCCAGCGTGAATATCACTATAAGTGAAAGAGTGCAATAGTCAGCTATGGACTTTAATCTGGACCTCAGATTTGGGCAAAACACTGAGCCTCTTAGAGTCTTGGTCTCCTTACATAGAATGATGGAGTCACCACTGCATGATTATTTGGAGGGTATCAGGTAAATTATGCAAGGTAGCTGAAGACTAGTGTACTAGTGTACCCTTATCATATCTTTATGCTAATTATGTTTTTATTCTTGAAATTTTAATAATATCTAGATGAATGAATAAACTATGTGTCCTTCAACATTTATGGAACATTTATTCTAGGCACAGTGACAGTTGTTTTATATAGGCGATAGTACATTGCCTCAAAATATTGTGAAGTAGATTCCTTTATTATCTCCACTTTATTAATGAAAAAATTAAATCATTAAAAGGAGAAATGAGTCTTTTAAGAGTTTACATCTGGTAAATAGTTACATCTGAATTGTTCCATGCCTGATCCCAAAGCACACCAGCAGCTACTCTATATGTATGCACTTCTTCGACATTGGACACCCTCAGCCTGCCTCTCTCCTTGACAAACTGCAGTTTTTATTCTTGTTAGGATATATGCTCATTTGTGAACCTTCCATTGTAGTTTTGATTTTATGAAATATAAAAATAATATTACAAAGGATGTCCATTTCCATGAACACAAAGATGTTCGAGTTGACGTCTTTGCATCTGTGTTCTCTCTCCAAGAATCAAATATTAGACATTAGCTAAAGCTTCTCCTATCCTTTTGTTTTCCCTTCCTTCTCAAATGCAATCATTTTGCTGAAGTTGGTATATATTACATATCTGCATAATTGTATATTTCATAAAATATGGATATCTATATAAACAATTTATGTAATGCTATTTTCTAGATTTAAAGTTTGTATATAAATGTTTTTTTACATTTAATATGTTTTACAACTTTAAATACTTTAATACTCTTAGTTTTTTTAGCAATTTCCTTTTTAAAAATCATACGGCTAGCATAATTTTTTTCAGCCAATACTATTTATCTATTTTCCTTCTGAAAAATAATTATGTTGTTGCTATGTTTCACTTTTACAAAGGGAGCTCGCCTGAGTATCCTGGCCCATAATTCCTATGGAAATATGCGAGAGCTACTCTAGGGAATTCATCTACTAAAGCTGCTGAGTCATAGCTCATGAGCCTGTTCAAATTCACCAGGTGTTTTGAAGATACTCTCCTTTGCAGTGGTACTAATTTACACTTCAGTCAGTAATGTATGTAAGTCTTACCTTTTCACATCTTTATTAGTATCTTGGTTTTTAAAAATTAATTAATTTTGATCAACCTCCTTTATTAATATTTCAGAAGTTGCTAGTGAGCTTTAACATATTTTGATATATTTGTTGACATTCTAATTTTTTCCTCAATGAAATAGCTGATGTTCTCTTTTATTTATTTTTTCTTCTGGATTATTTGTTTTCTAAATATATTTTCTTAGTCTTGACTTGTCCTTTCATATTTTTTAGCTTCTTTTACATATGCATTTATTTTTTTCTTTTAATCCTCTTGGAGTTATCTTTAACAATCATTTCTTTTATTACTTATTTTTTTTTTTTTTCATTAAAAAATTCTTCCTTTTCCTGGAAGCTGCTGAAAGCCTGAGGAGATTTGTTCACCTGGCAAGGACCACTCTCACAGGCAGGTTTTGCTCACCTTACCCCTCAGGCCAGACTTTTGTCAGAACTAATACATGTGTGGCGGCCTTCCCCTAGACCTCCCCTAACTGGTCCCTGCTCTTCCTAGGCTCATGAAGTAAAAATTCTTGCCCTAGCTCTTTCTTTCAAGACTTAAGCAGGGCAGGAGGCCTCAGTAGCTGCTTGGCTCAGATACAGCAGCAGCAAGGGTTCAGGGATATATTCAAGCCATCTTCTTCCCATAATTCTCTGATAGCTATTTCCTATTACTGCTCAGCTTATTTTGTCTGTCATGCTTATTATAAGGTATATGTTTATGTATATATCTTACTCATTTATTGTCTGACTTCTGCTCTGTTGCACCATTTTCTTGAGGATAGGGATCACGTATGTTCAGAGCAAACATCCTTGTGCTTAGGGTACTTCTGGGGATATAGTAGGTGCACAAAAATTTATGTTAAATGAACTAATAAATGAATGATTAGATTTCCTTATTCCACCTGGAAAGTTGCTAGCCTGTGATGCTTATTGCAGCTACTTCTTGCAGACTGTTGGTGGGAGATGGGTCTATAAGCCTTGTGGAAACATGCAGAATAAAAGACAAAAGACACCTACACACAAAAATTTTTAGAAATAAAATAAATAAATAAATAAATAAAGGAAAAAAGTCTGAAAAAGTCTACATAACTTCCTTTCTAAGATAGTATTTATAAAAGGGTCAAAATTCCTTCCAAAATCTGTGTTGAATCCACACAAGCCTTTCAATAGAGGTGCATTTGAGGTCTAGCTTACTACACTATTAATCTTGGCCACAAT